CCAGGGGGGTTCCCGCCCCCCGATCCTCCCCCTGGGGCCCTCCTGCCCCCCCTCCTCCAGGAACCTTCCTGACCCTTCCTCAGTTCCCACCCCCCTGACCCTTCTTGACCCCCCCTCAGGCACCTTCCTGACCCCTCCTGATCCCTCCTCAGCTCCCGCCCCCCGACCCTCCCCCGGGAACCCCTTTTGACCTGACCCCCCCTGGCCCCTCCTGGCCCCTCCTGACCCCTCCTCAGAAGGTTTCACGCCCCCCGACCTTCCCCCCCTTACTCCTCCTGACCCCTCCTGAATTCTCCTGACCCCTCAGGAACAAACGCAAAACCCTCCTGGATTTTTTTGTTGAACGAGCCCCCCTCCAGAAGTTCTTTGAATGAGCCCCCCTCCAGGATGAAAGAACAACTTCATGGAGGTTTTTTTTGGAACGACCCCTCCCCCAAGGACCCAAAAACACTTTCGGAATGTGTGTTTTCTGAGCGAGCGACCCACCCGCCTCCAGGATCAAACAACAACCCTCCTGGAGTAGTGTTTTTTTGATCCTGGAAGGGGGGGGGTCGTTGAGCAACAATCATCCAGGATACGTCGGTTTTTGGGGATCCTGGGGGGGGGTGACTCCCTCCGACCCACCCGACCTCCTTCTGACCCCCTCCCAGAAGGGTTCCCGCTCCCCGAACCCCCCCTCCTGACCCCTCGTGACCCCCCGAAGCCCTTCCGACCCCCGCCCCAGAGGGGCCTTCGCCCACCCCCCTCCTCCCCGGGACCCCCCGGAATCCCCCCGGAATCCCCCCGGAATCCCCCCTGCCCTCTCGACCCCTTCTGACCATCCCTCCGCCGACCCTCTCCTGCTAACCCCTCGTGACCCCTCCCGACATCCCGCCGACCCCCCCAGAAGGGCTCGCACCCCCTGCGGGTGCCCTTCTGGGATGGGGTCGGGGAGGGGGGCTCGGGGGCGGTCAGGAGGGGTCAAGAGGGAGTCCGGGGGGTGGGGGATCGGGGGGCGGGAGCCCTTCTGGGGGGTGACACGGGGGGGGTCGGGGGGGGGGGTCGGGGCGGCTCCAGGGGGGGTCGGGGGGCGGGAGCCTTTCCGAGGAGTGGTCAGGAGGGGTCAGGAAGTCTCTTTGTTACGAACCCCCTTCCAGGATCCAACAAACCCCTCCTGGAGGTTTTTCTTTTGAACACCCCCCCAGGATCCAAATATCCCCTCCTGGATGGTTTTTTCCCAACCATTCTGTGGTGTTAGGTTCCGTTTTGAAGAGACAGCGCCCTGCGTCTCACTCCTCACTTCTCCTCCTCGCCGTCCTCCCTCCTGCCATCCCTGCCTCTGCTCTTCGCATGTCATCATCATCATCATCATCATCACCATCCTCCTCCTCATCATCAGCATCGTCAGCATCATTCTCACCATCATCATATTCATCATCATCATCATCATCATCATCATCATCATCATCATCATCATCATCATCATCATCATCATCATCATCATCATCATCATCATCAACA